AAAATTATATAAGAGGGACAAAAAAGGTAAAACAAAAGGAAAAAGGAAAAGTTGCTAGAGTGATGTATTCCTAAGGCTTAGAGGACTAGTGGTGCATTCCTTGAGGCTTTGATTGTGGTTGTTTGTACATTAAAGTGAATAGGAGGCTGGAAAACCAAGACAGCTGGTTACATGTGCATCTGTGATGGCTTCATCTGCATACCTGCTTGGAAGTGTGATCTGTCAGAGAAGGCTACACAGGGGTTCTGCTGTCATGAGGATTACCAATTCTGAGAACAGGTCAAGACTAGGTATAAGACTAAAGGTCTGTTTAAGTGACTAGTTTTATTTTTATATATGCGTGTGTGTGTGTGTGTGTGTGTGTGTGTGTGTGTGTGTGTGTGTGTGTATATATGTTAAATTACTATATAATATATAATAATTTAACTTTATATATTTACTTTAATTATTTTTATATATATATATAAATACACATACATACACACACACACACATATATATATATATATAACTTAACTTTATTTATATATTTACTTTAATTTGACCATAGAAGGACAGAGTGAAAGAGAGAGAGAAAGTGCAAGCTGCCAGGTCTGGGACTCAATCTAGATTTGGCCATGTGGGAGTCTGGCGCCCTTAACCACCATGCCACCTGCTGGTCCCGCAACTAGTTATATTTAATTAGCATATTTAGCAAAGGAGAGAAATGAAGAGGATTTCTGTACTGCAGAACTCCAGGAGTTCAAGAAATCACTGTAAGGTAGAAAAGTAGCTCAGTGTGATACTTCGTGATAAAAGAACCCCCAGAGTCATCCAAAAGCAGCCCAGGAGAAGCTGCTGGGAGTTTGTCCTCAGCTTTGTGAAAGAGACTCTGAAAACTATAGAACTGCAATAAGCTTAAAGTCATTGTAAACTTGTACCCCTTTGCTTAATTAGTGGGTTCCAATACATAGCAAGTGGGCAAGAAGTTTCTTAGACTTTAATTTTCATCCATTAAAGCAGTATATATATTTTTTATCAGCTAACCTCTGTATGTAAAGTATAATATTATAACCTATATTTTTTTCACATAAAACTGAAGTTTTTAATGTTCAGTCATTTTCTCAAGACTACAACTGTGGGGCCAACAGGTGGCTTCGTGGTGAAGGCACTAGACTCCAACATGGTTGACCATGGTTTGAGTTTTAGACCTGGTGGCTTGAAGCTCATATTGGGTGGCTGTGTGGGTGTGCCCAAAATCATCCTGAGAGGAGAATGGAGGAGAAAGGATTGTGGCATGGTCATCCTCCTGGGGTTGATTTCTCGCTTTCTGTGTCTCTGTCTCTCCTGTGAGCGCGTACACTCTATAGCAAATATCTCTTAAAAAGAAAGATTACAAATATACTAATTATAAGCTTGATTAAAATAGAGAATTGTCTACATCTCACACCTGCGATATTCTAATTATAAGTTTGATTAAAATAGAGAATTGTCTACATCTCACACCTGCGATATTCCCACTACATTATCCTCCTAGTACAGATCAAAAGAATTGACCAAAAAGTTAACTATTAGGAAATGTTCATTTGAATTTTTATTAGATTTAGATACTGTGTTGCCCTTAAAGTAACCATGTTCCTGACCGGCTAGCTCAAGAAGGGTAGAAATTTGGGGAAGCAGGAAGATAAGATCAGGGAAGCAATTGCTTTCTCTCCAGCTTTGCTCCCCAGCTAAACTGATATCAAGTAGAGGCAGGGAGAGAGGGCAATGAGGAACCCAGCCTGATGGGAGTTTAGCTTCCTTCTACCAGTCACAAACCATTTTGGAACTGAAGAGACATCAGTAATTCTAGCCCCATCTAAAAAAAGATTAGACCTTATTTCCCTTTGCTCTGTTTTAGTGTTTTAAATTTTAAGGACTGGAAATAGTTTTATTTCTGTTTTTCTTTTTTTTTTTTTTCCTAGAACTTCCATGCCCCCCTACAAAAAGTTATTGTTATTCCCAAGCCACATAATCAAGAGAAATAGACAAGCTATGAAGTATATGCTTAAACTGGTGAATTAACATGTCACTCCCCTTTTATGGATAAAATCTTCATTGTATATTCAAATGTTGCCTAAATGGAGATTTATTATAATAGATTCTTAACGTTTTGAGGGAAGGATCTCTGTCTTTCTATCTATCTACTGTGGCAGAACTGTGTTCTAGTGGCTTTGGGCTGACCCAGTTCTCCTTTCTTGTAATTCTCAGGAACAACTATAACTTGTAATTCTCAGGAACAACTGTAGAATGGGCTGGAAATACAACATCTGGGACAGAAAGGAGCTGGTTGGAACTTCGGGATTTTCTAACAGTTCCTGTAAAAACAGGGCATTCTTCAATGGTTTAGCTCAACATCTCTTGTTATCCTGTGGTGTAAGAACTCGTCAGACTGTCTTATGGATCTTATAACTGAAGTGTAAGTGAAGCAGGTGCCTGTAAGATTCCTTCTATCCTGGGCAGCTTTCCTAAGCCTTGAGAATCTGGCTTGCGATGCCTGTTGGGCTCCTATTGTCCCTGCTGCCTCTCTGTAAGTGTAATTCTCTTTATGTAATTGTTCTAGCTCCCAGACTCGGGCATGTGGTTAATGTGTGCACCCAAGATGCAGTGTAATGAGGTGTTCGCACTTCTGTTCCTGGGTGGGTGGCAGAGTGATGATCTTCACTGTTCTTTTTACAGTTGGAGTCCTCCCTTAGGGCTGGTAATCAGTTTGTAACTGTCTAGCATAATGCCTGTTTGTTGGGTGAATATTTAGTGAATGAAAGAAACAGCCTCTTTTCCACATTTGCTCTACAGCTAAGAATCTTTTTGCATTGCAATATATATACATATATTTTTAATAGGGCTTGTGTACTCACCAGAGAGACAGAAAGAGAGAAATCATCCCCCAGAAGGATGGCCACACTGCAATTCCTTCTACATTCTCCTCTCAGGATTTTGGGCATTCATGCACATGTGCCCAGCATGAGTTTTAAACCACTATTCCAGGACTTAAACCATGGTTGACTATGTGGGAGTCCAGCAGCAATGTAACCATTATGCCATTTACTGGTCCCTTATTTTTGTTTGTTTGTTTGTTTATTTTTTAAATCAATTTTCACTTCCAAGTTCTTTTATCCTAATTTTAAAGCCACCAACCTGGTCTTTAACTAAATGATTAAACCACAAGTCTTTCTATCACAACGCATCTCCATTGCTCCTCAAATAGTAAGTATCACACATTAATCATCATGGGAATTAACTTCTATTATATGGTTATATAGAATTTTCTTTGTCGTGTTGTTTGCTGTAACATACAAAAGAGTGAGTAGCAAATTGTTCAGTTTTTTTTTTTGAGAGGATTTTTGCTATAGGGCGCATGTGCTCACCAGAAAGAGAGAGAGAGACAGAAAGAGAGAAATCTCCCCAGGCTGGGATGGCCATGCCACAATCCCTTCTCCATTCTCCTCTCTAGATCTTGAGCATGCACGCACACGTGCCTGGTGTGAGTTTAAGACACCAACCAGTTCTGAGACTCAAACTGCGGTCGACTACATGGAAGTCCAGTGACCTAGCAATTATGGCAACTGCTGGTCCCACAAATTGTTCTTGATACAAACTAATGACTTGAAAATCACCCTACATTGAAGAAAACAAAAGCAGGGTGTAGTGGCCTGCACCTGAAGTTCCAGGTACTCAGGAGGTTGAGACAGGAATATTGGAACAGAGAGACCTTGTCTAAAAAATACCATACACATGGGACCAGCAGGTGGCATGTTGTTAAGGTGCTGGACCCCCACATAGTTAACCATGATTCGATTCTTGGGCCCAGTGGCTTGAAAATTACACTGGGTATGTGTGTATGTGTGTGTCCAAAATCCCGAGAGGAGGATGGAAGAGAGGAGATCATGGCCTGGCCATCTCTCCTAGAGGTGATTTCTCACTTTCTCTCCTTGTCTCTGTCAATCTCTGGTAAGCCTGTATGCCCTACAGCAAAAACCTAAGAAATCAAAAACACTGTGGTCACGTGTGTATGTTCACACATACACTCCACAAAAAAATTAAAGAATGGTAAGAATAGTCATAAAAATAAAGATGTATGTGTATGTGTGGATGGGAATGTGTCTATTTACAGCCTAGATCCTGAATTTACCAGACATTTTCACATAGAAAGATTATTATTTTTTTAAAAAAAAAGAAGAAAAAGGCCTTTTAGAGGACAATGACTTATATTCTTATACTACCCAGTGAGAAAGCTCTGTGTTTTTCAAATACCTTTCAATCTTTCATTTCAGAAAGTTCTCGAAGAGCCCTCTAGGAAATTCTCACACTCCTAAACCAGAAATCTCCAACATAATGACACATTTGGGTCAAAATGTAACTAAATTATAACTAAATTTCTTTACTATGATTTATGCCATATACTTTCTTTTAAAAAATATCATAATATGCTGATTTCTGTGCAACTAGTTCACTAAGTATTAAAGGAAAAATGTTATGAATGAATATTATTTTAGAGCATCAGTTTATCGCATTTCCCCATTGACTGGTATTACTCTGACAAAGAGCACCTCCCTAAAGCATTATGAAGCATGTGAGTACACACACACACAAACACACACACCTTTCATTTTCTTAAGTATTATCGTATTTCTTTCTACTCTGGATTCTAAAGCACAGTATAATCCTATAAATAGATTGCATTCTTATAACCCTACCTGCATCATAATCTAGAATATCTCCTTCTGAAAAAATCCGAATTCTATGGATGCCAGGTTAGTGTTCCATTTCGTTCTTTACTAGCTCTTTCACTCACACAAATATAAATAACCAGAGCAGATAATGCTATAGCTTTTACAGGAGTAAAAGTAACTAAAATTCTTCTTTTATTTTGTTTTAACCCAAGTGCAATATCCTTGAGTCAAATCAGTAAGCAATAGGTAGCATTTGTTACTTTCTCTTATTAGATAGAAATCACAATAGATGATTCAATTTCAACATACCTGGGAATGTAATCATCAGAGTACGTGCACATTTTATCTGAAAGATATTCAAAATGGACAAATCAAAAGAAATTTTGACATATATTTGTTAAATCTTCTATAATGTTCAGGGGAGAAGTGGGCCTCAATGCCGGTTAACATCTTTGATCAAGCCCCTTGTGCCATGACTGATTGAACTAAGGATGAAGACCTTCTATTTAGGCTGATTAAATTCTCTCTTAGTGATCTGGGATGGCAACAGTGAAACTTGGAAGTGGTGTAGAACCTGAGTGTGTGGCCATCTTACGCATAGGAAACACTAAGCATAAAAAGTGGGATCCTCATTTGGTCCTCCATTGTGGTTACAATCCATTGTAGGAAATGGCTCTACTCTCTGCTTTTGGTTTTCATGAAACATCTCTGTATCCTTCAGATTAGTTTCCCTTTTTGAATAAGCTTTTCTTCCTTAGCAAAATAAGAAGGAGGAGGAGGAGGAGGAGAAGAAGAAGAAAACTCTTCAAGACAGCTTGCTTGCTTGCTTGTTTTCTGTCATGAAAGAGAACATTTCTTGGCATATAAACAACAACATGGGAAGGAAGTAGCTCTGGTCATAATTTCATTTCACCACATGGTGAAAACATCTTAGAAGATGAATTCTCTTCTCATTAGGTCCTAAAGAGAAAAGACATGGAGAGAATTGGAACACAGTCTCTAAAATTAATCAAAACAGAGGATGGCTTCTAAAATAAGCAATTCTCTTTAGTCTGTGGAGTAAGATTTACCAGAGATGTTTGTCAGACAATTAAAACCAGAAAAAGAAAAATAATGCGTCAAATCTTAGTGAGTAACCTAGTTTTGAATCTTGAAGGTGGCAATTCAAAGGCAAATAAGAGGAAGTATTTTTACTTCTACTTATATATATGTTTGAATTGGAAAATATAGTTTTTTAAGAATTTCTTTTCTAATGAAGACAATAGAGTTGTGATGAACTATTGAGGGTAATCAAAGGATGTTCAGTTTTGATAACTAAGATTAATATTATGAAAAAATCTGTATTAGCCATGCATCAATAAATTATTTTATATTGAACTGAATGGACATACATAGAATAATATTTATCCTATTTAGATGCTTATTATTATTGTTTATTTATTTACTCTTTTGGAGATTTTTTGGCTACAGGGCATGTGCGCTTGCCAGAAAGACAGAGAGATACAGAGAGAAAGCAAGAAATCATCCCCCAGGGTGGGTGGCCATGCCACAATCCCTTTTCCTCCATTCTCCTCTCAGGATCTTAGGCACGCATGCATATGTGCCCAGCACGAGTTTAAGCCACTGGGTCCAAGATTCGAACTGCAGTTGACTACATGGGAGTCCAGCGACAGCCATTATGCCAACTGCTGGTCCCTAAATGCTTACTATTTACCCTGACATTGAAAGCATCTCTATAAGCTAGCAGGTGGGTGTGTGGTTGTTAAATCACTGGACTCCTTTGTGGCCAACCATGGTCTGAATTGAGACCTGCCAACTTGAGACTCACCCCAGGTGCATGGGCATGTATGCTCAGAATCCTGAGAGAAGGATGGAGGAGAAAGGATTGTAGTGTGGCCATCCTCCTGGGAGATGGGGGAGTGATTTCTTACTTTCTGTCTCTCTGTCTCTCTCTGGCAAGCTCACATGCACTATAGTAAAAAAAAAAAAGGCATTATCTAGATCTCTGACAATAACTCAGGACAAAGTAAGTAAATGGCTATCTTTCAGCTTTCACATATGAAAATCGCAGTGTGTTAGTAAGGAGCTAACAATAATGGTTCCAAATAATTGAGTACATTACCAAACAACTACAGAGATTATTTCTGGTTAGATTTATGAGCAGTATAGTTGAGTTATTCTCCAGAGAGGTTATTAATTTTTAAAGAAACATTAGTAGAATGATTTACTAAGTTAATCATATTGGAGGGTAAATTGGATATGTCACATGTCAATGTGTTTGGAAGAATTTTGTGAAGGACCATATGAGGAGAGAGTATATACACTGAGCTGCTATGGGACCAAAAGTGACAAACATAACCCATCTGGGATATGTCACAAATGTATTTCTTCCAACCCACAGGAAATGTCCTACCATGAACTGCACATAAAAGATGCAGTTATGAAACAAGATGGCGGGCTCGCAGTGGCAATCTGCCAAGTTGAAAAGTAGTTTGTCTAAAAAGCAGATTTTAAAAGTAATTTCTCTTCAGAACAACTTTTTTTGTGCCACCTAAAAAGCCTCTTGATTTGCCATGGCAGTAGCAGCGATAAAATGTGTAATATCAAAGGCAACCATCTCTAAACATTTCCTTCCAACCCAAAATGGAGCTTTATATTGTTTGTCATGAATCTACATATTCTTCTCTTCCAGATGACTGGATAATTGCAAAGTGGAGCTTGCATTGCCATCTGATGGCAGGACGATAGTGTGCTACCACCTGCCTGTGGACATTCCATATGAACACACAAAACCTACTCCTAGACCAGAACCTGTGCACAATAATGAAGAAACACATGATCAAGTGCTGAAATCCAGGTTGGAAGAGAAAAGTGAACACCTTGAACAAGGACCCATGATAGAACAACTTAACAAAATGTTCTTTACTACCAAGCACTGTTGGTATCCTCACAGACAGATGTATTGCAGACGTTGTAAGAAACTGGACCCTCCAAAAGACAGATGGCATCGAGGTTCTCAGAGGAATCAGAAACATGCTTCATTTGTCATTTAAGAAAATCCCGTGTGGTATATTCACTAATAGGTTATGTAATAAAACAATAATAAAATTTATTGTCATATTAAAAAGGACACAGTTATTTGTGACTGTGAATGCACGTGAGTGCAGGGAAAGTCCTAGAGTGATCTCAAAGACACTGCACGGTAGCCATAAGTTCATGAAAGTCAGAAAACCTGAGAAGTGTAAATAATATCAATATAGATCACCAAGTCATAAGCTGAGAAAGACATGATATAAAGTATGTATTGATTTCTTTCTAAAGAGGAAGAGGAAGAGGTTTATACTCAGATTATTAATTATTATTTATATTTGCCTGGAATTAAAGTACATGTACGAGAATTCAGTTAAGTTAGCTAGATAAGGGACATTATAAATCAAGATCAACTACATTGGAGGAGCAATGAAAAAGGAACTTAGTTCAAGGACTCCACATTCCATCCTGCTCTTAGAATTTATACATTGTAATCTGAAGCTGGACCTTATTACTTCTTTTACAATTTCTCCTATGAGAAAGTGAATAGGGTATAATCTTTCTCTCTCTCTCTCTCTCTTTTACAATTTTATTTATTTTTTTATTGCACTGATGAGGAAGAGAGAGTGTGCACATGAGAGAAAGCAACCATGGATTGTGGTCATGTTGCAGTCCCCTTTCCTTCATTTATTCATTCTGTCAGTATTTGGGGTCTGCATGCACATGTACCCAGAGTGTTTTTCTAGCTGGGGCTAGGATTCAAATCATGGTTTGGCCATATGGGATCAGGCTCCCTATGCAAAGTCACTCATTTATTCTTAAAGAGGGCTGGTCCTAGAATATAATCTCTTTAACTAGGAGTATTAATAAGTCCAGGGGTTACAGCTAAGAATAAAGATCACCAAGCTTAGGGTCCTGGAAAGAGCTTGCTCTGTCATAAAAAACATAAATAGCATAATTTAAATGCTACCTAGTCATTTCAGTAGTATTTAGTTAAATGAGAAGTTTGCATTTTGCAATAAAGCCAGTAAGTGTGCAAGATTGTGTGTGAGAAGAGCTGGGTGAGTTTTGACAATTCTCTCTGGTGATTCAGATATAAATACTTGTGGTCAGGTTCAGGGTTGAGAAGGTGTGATGCACACATATTGTAATTTGTTTTCCCCTTTAGAGTTCTCTTTTCTGTGCACTGTACATAAGATATAACCTCATGTGGTTTAAACTCCATATAAAATACTTCTGATACATTTTCAATATGAAAAGGTGCCATAATTTTCTAGTGAATAGGAGATAAACTGCTAAGACTTTGATGTACGACCAAATCGTACACTTGTTTATCCTTTTCAAAACAGAGGAAGAGTTGGATAAAGACTAGCCTTTGGACTTAAAGGAGCAAAAAGGTAATGCATTCCTATCGGGAAAAAAAAATAAATATAATTCTTCTAAAGAGCAGATTTGGACAAAGAAATTCATTAAAATGAAAGATTTATTTTGGGGGAAAGAGAGCTCCATTTCAAAGCTTTTACCTAGCTGTTACAGAAAACATCAAGGAGAAGCTTATCTGGTCTATCTGATTGAATGTGTAGATAGTGTATTGTTGCTAGGATAGGGATTTGCTTTTCTAAGCTATTTAATAACACCAGCAAAACTTATTCAGTGACTTTGCAAAGGTGGATTATCTTGCAAGTTTCTTAGCCAAAAAAAGGAGCTCAGAGATGCAAACATAAAGTTACATGAGGCCTTAAACAGGGGCATTACATTCACAGACTAGGTGGCAGAAAAGATGGCTGACATAATAGAACCTCTTCTAGTCTGTCTCTCCAGGAGAAAAGAGGGTAGGGGGGAGTCTTCAGGAGAACAAGGAAAAGGCTGAACAGTTTAGGGGCTAATCCCAAATCCTGAGATAGGTAGGACTGTTTATTCACATGAAATGGAAAGAATAGCAGAGTTACTACTAATATCTGGGAAAAAATGGCAGGAAATGTTTGGGCAGTTGGGAAAGGGCTACAGGAGAAAGGGTGGAGCTGGGATAACACAAGGCATTCTTACAGCATTGCTGAATGCTGTTCCAAGGCTAACCTTGCGTTTGCACGCCACAAAAATGCAAGACTCAGTTGAGTGCTTCAGCCAAGAATGGTGCCTTACTGCTCAAGTAAAATACTTGGTGACTGGCTGATGTTTAGAACCAGTTCCATGAAAGCCTATAGAAAACTCTTTGAAAGGGGCCTGAGCACAACAGTTACTGCTAGAGCTCAAGGTATTACACGGACATGTTAATTAATTAGAGATAGAGCAGGAAGTGAAGTGGGCACTGGAAAGGGACCCAGAGGGCATGGGAATGGTGGGAGCAGCAAGGAAGTCAGAGAAAAATATATTAAAATTGAATAAGATAACAGGCAGCTCTAACAGGCACTTAATTATTTGTGGAAAGGGAAAGAAGTGGCAGGGCTATCATGTAGAGTGATGTGGGCTGTACCAAGCCCAGGACTGACCTGCTAAGTCCCCAGGACTGTGCTAAGGTATATATGTACTTTTCATGAGAGCTATATGGACCAGAAAGTATTGTCCACATGTATATAAGGAGACTGAGACTCAGAGAAGGTATGTTATTTGTACAAGATCTCCCAGCTAAATATTGGAAGCTGAATTCAAAGTCACATCAGGTTGACTTCAAAAGCTACACTGTTAAAACAATTGAAATTGATTTATAAATATATTAATAAATGTAACACATTTTTATATTTAAAAAAATGCTATTCTTATATGTTTATATCCTCAATTTGTTTATAACACTCTCTTTTTTTTTTTTTTTTTGAGAGGTTTTCGCTATAGGGTGCATGCGCTCACCAGACACACAGAGAGAGACATAGAGACAGAAAGTGAGAAATCACCCCACAGGGGGGATGGTCACGCCGCAATCCCTTCTCCTCCATTCTCCTCTCGGGATCTTGGGCATGCATGCACACATGCCTGGCATGAGTTTTAAGCCACCGGGTCTGGGACGCAAACCGCGGTCGAGCACGTGGGAGTCCAGTGACATAGCCATTACACTAACTGCTGGTTCTCTCTCTCTATATTTTTAAAAACCATATGGTACCCTATAAAGATGTATAATGATTATTATAAATCAGAAATTACAATAAAAATAAATAAAATTTTAAAATTTAAAATGTGATTTT